CTCTCTAAAAACAGAAAAGTATATAAGAAAAAAAAATCTTGACTTTTTCTTAAAAAATGTAAAAAATTCTGTAACTAATTTTTACACAGGGAAACAGACAGGCAAATATGGAAAAATGATAGTTATTTACAAAAAAAAGGCATTCTTCATTGTCCTTTCTCTGTTAAAGGTAGCCAAATATAGCATCAAAAACATCCTTGACCAGAAGCTGCTGACATGCCACATTCATACGTGTCCTGAGTCCTACACCCACTGCCCCAACCTAGTCTAGTCACCCCTGCCTGTACCACTTCTACCAGGATAGTAATGTCTTCTCCTGACCCAGGCTCCTGCCACACCTTATTCAACCTCTCCAGCCCAGAAACTGCATAGACTTATCAGGATCTAACCCTGTGACTCTGCCTGATCCTGTTCTCCACAAACACTCCCCAAACCCTAAATATACCCCACACTCAAGGCTTGAAGCAGGAGGTACATACTGCACACCAGCCCAGTCCCTAGGTCCATCTGACTTCATTTCATCTAAGCCATGCCCAACATTTAGACAAAACCTCGCCTGCATATCTTCCCTTCTGCCTCAACCTACTCTGTCCATAGCAGACACAGAACTAATAAAATAAGCCCACATGCACCACTCTCATTGCAAAAATACAAGTAATGTGAAAGATAAAAGCAGTATCTCCCCTATAAAATCCAGCAGTCCTGTAGAGATGTTTGCCAACTGAGGCTATGTAGATGAACTCAGGACACAAAATTTAAAAGAACAATCATAAACTTCATCAAAGAATTCAAGAAGTTTAAAGAAGACACAAACATCTCAATGAAATGAAGGAGAAATAACTGAAGGAGAATATGTACCTGAGTGAAACCCAAAAAATATTAATATAAGGTTGATGGAAAAAAAAAGACAATCCAGTACTTGAAAACAGAATTCTATAAAGAGAAACTCTGAAGAGGACTCAAACTAAAATGAAATTAGAATTGAAAAACCCAATAATTCAGCTAGAAAACTCAAAGGAAGCCTTGCAAGTAGGTTGAATCAAGCAGAAGATAAAATAGAAGATCCAGACCAAATGAGAAAGGAATATTTTAAAATACAGGAAAAAATATACAGGAAATGTGGAATACCATTAAAACACCAAACCTTCAAGTTATAGAATAGATGAGGGAAAATAAGCCCAGGTCAATGGCACAGACCAGGTCTTCAACAAAATCATAGAAGAAAACTTCCCCAAACTATGAAAAGACACATACCGTACGTACAGACACAAGAAGCACATAGAAATGCAAATAGACACGACTAGAAAAGAATATCCCTACTTGGCATTATAGTTAAAATACCATACAGAATGAGCAAAGAGTATTGAAAACATCTGCAAGCCAGCCAACAAACCAACCAACCAACAAACCAACCAGCCAACCAACCAACCAACCAGCCAGCCAGCCAGCCAGCCAGCCAACCAACCAACCAACCAACCAACAAACCAACCAACCAACAAACAAAAAAGAAAACCAAACACAAATCACATGTAAAGGTACACCATCAACATAACAACAGATTTCTCAATGGAAGCTCTGAAAGCCAGAGGAGCCTGGGCACTGCCTTACAGGTCCTAAAAATCAGGATGGCCAACCGAGGCTAACATACCCAGAAAAAGTACCTGCCATAGTTGAAGGAAAAAAAAATTTTTTTTCAGACATAGATTGTGTGTGTGTGTGTGTGTGTGTGTGTGTGCACATGCATGCACACATCCAACAAATCAAACCTTAAGTAAATATATGGACTTTATTAAAAATACATTGCCATTTCAATAGATCTAGGAAGAAGGTTTTGATAATATTTAACAAGCTTTATGATAAAAGTCCTAGAGAATTGGGACTAAAGAGAACATACCTCAACCAAAATAAAAAGCTATATATGAGAAACCAACAGTCAGTATCATCTTAAATGGAGAAAATCACGAGACAACCACACTGAAGTCAGGAAGGAGACAGGGATGTCCACTAGGACACCCTTTTCAATATTGTCCTTGAAGAACTATCTGGAAAATAAGGCAAGAGAGTACAAAGAGGGAAAGAAATCATGCCATCCCTGTTTGCAGATAGCATGATATTACATATTAAAGAACCACCCATTCACCAAAATAAAAAACTCAAGAGAAAATTTTTAGAAATAATAAAAAAAATTCAACAGTATGTCAGGATATAGAATCAACTTGCACAAATCACATCTTTTCTATACATGAACATCAAATATTCTCCAAGAAGTGGAAGGCAAATCTCTACTACTGAAGATACCACACATTTCAGACACAGGGTCCAGAGTCCTCAGAGCTGGAACTGACCTGAAAGCCTCAGGTTTCTGAGGATTAGTTTTCATGGTACCAGAAGGCTCCAAGAAAACTTCCAAAGGAGGGAAGCAACCCAGACTCTTACTCAGCTACTGTACCTATGAACCAATAACAAAGACCATCAAGGCCCAATATCCCAATGGTGCAGTAGTGAGTGCTACATGCACCTTGGCAGTAACCACAGCTCTCTAGCTGGAGGTGAAGACCCACTCAACAAGAGGGAAATCAAATCATGCCTAATACTGGAATTCTAGTCAATTACTCAACCCAGAGCTAGTGAAGTCATGGATCTTGGAGGTGAACCTACAACTGCCATTATACTAAACCAGAATAATCCCTAACTACAATCTAAATAGGTGTTCTTACACCTACAGATAAATAAATGTAATCCATACCCCTCAATGGAACTTCTCTTTGTAGCAGAGAGAGTTCATGTCAGAAAGCCACAACCAATCAAAATCAAGAGTTGTGGAGTTCAGTCCCAAATGATGCATCTACAAAACAACACCCAAGGCTCAAGAAGCACTAGAAATGGGGGCAGAAAGAGTGCAAGAGCCAGGAGAACAGGGTTTGCTGTGAGATTATGTCTCTTAGAAATGACAGAAGCTCCACCCACAAGATCAACCCGCGTGCTTAAACGTGAACTGAACAAGGAGCACACGAACAGATATTGTGATACAGATAGGGGAAAGCTCAGGAGGCCTCAACCCTACCCTGGTACTAAGAAATGTGGAGAGTGGAAGAAACGGTCTTCCACGGGAATGAATACACCAACTGGTTATCCAGTGGTCATCAAATGGTGGGCCTAACCATATACACACAAGTAGCACTGTCCAGTCTGAACAGGTTATATTTTGTATATATGTGTACTAAGTAACTGTATATATACACACAGAGAGATATACATATATGTATATAATGACAGTGAAAACAGAGGTAATGGATTTTAAAGAGAACAAGCAGGGATATAAGGGAAGGTTCAAAGTGTGGAAAGGGAAGGGAGATGATGCCATTATTTTGTAATCTCAAAGAATAAAAATAATTAAATATAAAAACTCTTAAAAGGCCTTAAGCTAATAATTATAATTATGGACAAATGACATCATTGTGGACATTCCATTTGACAAGCACATACATTATATATACATATATACCAAATGTCCATAGAAATAGGAATAATCATACTTATAGAAACTTGAAACAATAAGTAAAAAAGAACTAATGAAAAAGGGTGCATCTCTGGAAGAAATAGACATTTGTTTCTTTCTGTATTTCCTATGACTCCATCAAACTCAGAAGGGTGCAGTTGTTCCTTCATAACAGTATCATCTACACATAAATAAGCAAGTCATCCTAGCACACCAAGTCAAAAACCATGAGAAGATCTAGGCTTGGGATGTCCCCAGATCTGTTCAATAGAGAAACAGTCATTTGAGGCCTGCTTCTTAAAAACAGAGTTGCTCCAGCTTGGGGAAGCTAAATTGAACTGTACAGATGATAACGGAGGGAAAAATCTGGGGAGAGTGAGGAAGCAGAATAACACAACACAGAGCCTTGTTTCCAGGCCAGAAAGATGCTTAGGACAGGGTGACACAGGAGAATATGGGGCCATCGACATACTTAAAAGAGATATGGTAGAATAAAATCCAGAGAGAGAGAGAGAGAGAGAGAGAGAGAGAGAGAGAGAGAGGAATCAGAAGAGTGTGGTCGCTATGATTAGAAAAGCACCTTGGAGCAGGAGCAAAGTCAAGCAGCCTGTCTCATTAAACATTTATTACCCTGCTTAAATCTGTTTGAAGCATAGAAATACATGAAATACTACACAGGCTAAGATCTGCTCTTCCCCCAGCCAGAACGCTGAGGCTAACGTAAATCTGATTGACGTGCAGTTGAAATATGTGACTGTTTTTTCCTTGCTGTCAGCTTCTAACATGGTCAATATTACAGGTGAGTCCACTCCCAAAACTCTTGGTGGACACTTCCCATAATTCACAAAGTTATCCAAATGCTTTCAAGAAAATAGCATCAGTGTCCTTTCTGGGCATGAGACAAAAGTCTTTAATCTACCAAAGAAAAGAAAGACAGGAATTAAAACTCCCTGCTATGCCCCAAGCAGCAGATAATTCATTAAGCCTTGACTCAGGAAGAGAACAAAGCATTTCTCCCAGGTACACTGGCCTGCAGGACCGTGTGCTGACAAGCTCAGAGCCACGGCCCGTCAATTTCACAAGTACTATAATTCTCAAATCTTATTCGTCATGCTTTCTTCACTTCAAAAAGTTTTAACGAAGTGTACATACTAACATTAAAATAAATTTCAAGACAAAGATTCCCTCCGTAGCCTGCCATTACACTAACCATCTGCAGTGTGCCTGCAGACGTGTGGAATTTGTACTCCTAATCACTGCACACATGGCGTAATAGAGCCATGCGATGTAAAAGGCTTACCTTAACCTGGCAATCTGAACTCTCAAACTTCCCCGGCTTGCTCGTTTAATTAGCACGTATTTTGAGAAATAAAACCGAGCACGGGAACATAAAAATTTCGTCAGTTTTCCCCTAAACCCATGCCACAAATGGCATATTTAACCCAAAGAGTGATTTGGAGACATTGCATAATTCACTTTTCTGGGCCACTTTGCGACTTACCTCTTCCCCAGACAAGTAGTAAGCTGACAGCAGTCCGCCGACAAAGCGTATATTTACTTCAAAAACAGAGACTTCAGCATTCTATGGAAACAAAATGAAGGAGGCTTAAGCATAATGATACCACACATAATGAAAGTACACGGTATGATAAGCTACAGTAATTTAAGGTCTGTTCAAACCTGTGTGCTTGCCCGGGGAGGGGTACCTATACACGAGAGAGCAAGTCCCCTGGAAATGGTGTCAAAATGTGGCTAAGCAGATAAAAAATAATTTTGACTCAAAGTAAAATTATAAAAACACCATACACTGGGATTCTTTCTTTCTTGTATGTGAAGCGGGCCCCATACTTGATATTCTGTATCTGTACCAATGCAGTGGGATCAGGGCTTTTATTATTATTTTTTCCTATTCTGGGCTCCCGTTACTTCACTCATTTGCCTCCTTTTTCATCCTGAAAGGCCAATCAGATGGTAGTGTGGCTGCTAGCTCCGCACGAGGCCAGCAATCTTTTGCCATTATGTTAAAGTGGCACAGACAGAATGCTAATGGGACCCAAGGCCTGGGACTTGAGTTCCAGTGCTGCTGTCGGTCTTCCCACAGTTCCAGCTCTGAGATGACAGTCTGCCTTGGCATGAAGCTGATCATGATGTGAGCTCGCATTGCTGGCCTGGCTCTTATTTATAGTATCAATAGTGGCTTGCTTTTATTATTTACAATGTGGCAGAAGGCTCTGGTCATCCCTTGATGTCTCTTAATCTTCATAATGATTTTAGGAATTAATTACTATTCCTATGTCCAGTCTACAGAGGGAGAAACAAGCCAGGCTTATAGTGATTGTGACCTTTTGAAGTTCACACAATCGGAGTAGAGTTAGGATTTGAAGGGAAGTGTTTATTCATGGTTCAAAACTTGGCTATTTTGACCTTCACAGTCACGTCACCGACTATGTACCATGTCTTGTTATTAATGGTTGAATAATTGTGATGTATAAGTAGTAATTACTGCCAGTAGTTTTATGATTCTGTAATATCTGACCGCTAAGTGCATCTGTCTTGTAATTTGTAATTAGGTTATTAGCACAGCTGACCTCCAATAGATATAAGGTATACTTCATTGGGCCTACTAAGTAACTGTCACTTCTGTTCCAAACCAAACCACTTACTGATAAAGACAAGGGCTAGGAGGCAAATAGAATGGATGGAACCAGCATCTGGCAGATGAACTTAGAAAAATCATCTGAGACAGCATCAGCTTTAGGGATCCTTTATTAAGCAACTACTATGCGCCAGGCCCAGTTCTAGGTCCTGTGACCACAGCACTGAAGATCTTGGCTTAACAAGATCCTTAAACTGACTGAGCCTACATTTTAGAAAACATTTTCAGAAACAAAGAAGAAATAAAATATTTTCTTCCTACGTGCTCTCCCTCAAAGGATTTAGGGATCTAATGATTGAAGCTCCCGCATGCATAAGAGAGTTCTTGCAAAGAAATGAGTATGAAAAGAAGCTAGAGAGAACTGGTAGATAAAGTTGGATAAAATCATGCTGTGAGTTTGTGTAATTGCACTGAATAATTTGTGATTTGCAACTTATCTATTGATTAAATACTCTCTGTATTGTGCAATTTATCACTGAAGTGTATTAAGGAATGAGGATCTCTTAAACACTGCTGTTAGCCCACACAACCTCTGATAAGGAAAAGGGAAAAACCTATTAATTTAGTTCATACAACTTATCTCTCATATCTAAGAGAAATAATGTCTAATAAGACGTAATGATTTTAAATCCTTAAATCATCTTTGCCTCAGTTCGTACTTGGATGTTTTAGTTTTTAAACCACAAGTCAGATTCTCATATTTTCGCTTACTGAAGTCTATTGCAATGGTTTGATTTCTTTATTTGGGCTTTGGGCTCATTACATATTCTTTCCCTATTTCTCCTAGGAAAATTTTGGATAGCCAGGTCTTTTCTATAGACATCTGAAAAAATTATTGCAAGGTAGGGGACTGGGCCATGTCAATTGAAATCAGAAATACATCTCAATCTAGACATCAGTCACTTATTGGATGCAGTTACTCAGGCAGCTATTGATCCAGCTCTGTGTGTACTTCAGACCCTGCGCCCTATTTATCTTGCTCTGCTGGAAGATACTGAATGATAACCTTGCAAAGTTCTGTGCTCAAGGTCAGCGGTAAGGACAGCTGAGTTGCAGGGACTGAATCATCTAGGGAGCCCAAGGCAAGCCTGGACTGGTGAAGCCATGCAGATTCCCAGTGATTAGAACGTCCTTGTCTTTGAAAGTTTTGCTCTGGAATATCGCAGCATCGCGAGTCTGAACTCTCACCATCTTCCTGGGCTTGGAAACAAGAACTACACTTGATCACCCCTCACCCCCAGCATTACAGTTTCTTCTGCTTCTTTTTTCCCAAAGTCACACATTTATAAACCTTACTTTGAGATCTCCTAATATTCTAGGTTATAGTATATTTTCAGGCCAGAAGACTGACATTTAGACACTTTGGGTCATTCCTCATAGACTAATCTTAGGTGGAAAGGTGGGGGGGGATAAAATTTCATGCTACAATAAAATGGTTAACAGCTATGAAAATGCTGGCCAAGGGGCTAGGGAGATGGCTCAGTGTGTAAGAGTGCTTGCGACACAAGTATTTGGGCCTGAGTTTGAATCCCAGCACCCATATAAAAGAGTCGGTATGGCTGTGTGACTGTAAGTGCAGCATTGGGGGTCAGAGAAAGGCAGATCCTGGGAGCTCCTTGTCCCTGGCCAGCCAGCCTAACCAGAACAGCTGGTTTCCATTCAGTGATAGACCGCACAAGGGAATAAGGCGGAGAGTCAAAAAGACAGAATGAATTCCCAATAAGATACTCTGAGCCCATGGGTGTCAGGCGGTCAGTTCACAGTACCTGGTAAGAGTGACACATTAGCATTCTGTGTCAGCTTAGACTGAACAAAGGCCTGCCTTCCACGGGCTTACTGGAAAATCTATTATTCCAATATTAGGATGTTTAATAATTTTATTGTCATGCACCTTCCTGAACTTCACAGGGGAACCCACATTTCTACTCTCAACAGTCACACATCAAGATGTTCTAAACAAGTTTTCCACTTATTTAACCTAATGACAGAAGAGGGAGGGGGCATGTGGATGAAGCAAGTCACAATGCTAAAACCTCCTAATGTACAAAGGATATGATTTTGCCAACTGCATTACATGTAAAATAAATTTAACTGGCCCCTTAAATGTTTCATTTAGAACTGCATTGTAATAAGCTACCCCGTATATTCTATAGTATCTAGTGGATAGTCTTACAGGACTCCCAGTTTGAGAAGGGTATTCAGTTCTTTGTTTAAACCTGCTATGCCACACTGATTAGCAACTATAGGTTGAACACGTCTAAAATATAATATACTCTTAAGTACATCTTCATTAGAGACTGCTCTTCCATTTTTCTTCCAGCATGGCTATGCAATCACAGCACACAGATTCATGCACGAGTTTAATAAAATAGGTTGTATGATTCAGTTCACATGAGAATATCAGGAGGCGAGTACCGTGGGCCATTGAGAACATCTGCTTTGGTTATGAGCCTCTCTTAACACCTGTGCTGAGTTTTACGTCAGCTTGACACACGCTGGAGTCATTTGAAAGGAGGGAACGTCAGCTGGGAAAATGCTTCCATAACATCAAATTGTAAGCAAGCCTGCAGCACATTTTCTTAATCACTTGATTCATGGGGGAGAGTCCAGCCCTTTGTGGGTGGTTCCTACCCATTCCGGAATGGCTGTCCTGGAGTCTATAAGAAAGCAAACTGAACAGGCCTTGGGAAGCAAGTCAGTAACCAGCACTTCTCTGTGAGTTCCTGCCTGGGCTTCCCTCAGTGGACTGTGACCCAGGATATGTAAGCCGAATAAACCATTTTCTTACCAAGTTACTTCTAGTCATGGTGTTTCATCACAGCCACATTAACCCTAACTAAGAAAGATTGGTGCTAAGATAGTGGGCTCTTGCTGTGACCAACCTGACCATATTGTTTTGGGGGAGTCTTTTTTGCAGAAAGACTTTGGGCCTTCGGGGTCCATAGAAAGCCACTGAGTAGTCAAAGCTTGACTTTGGTTCTGTGGGAGGTTGGAAGATGAGTGTTGAGAGAAATGTAGATGATAGACGCCTGGCTTGTTAAATTCCACAGGGAATTTTGAGAGTCACTTATAGACTCTACTAGGCCGTTGACTATTATGAATTAAGAATCTGTACTTCTGGCCTGCTGGGGTTGAAGAACTGGCTGTGACTGACAAGACACCAGAACCACTAACATGAAACCATTGCTTTGCTGGGATAAGTGATGCTGGCCAACCGGAGCTGAGAAATCAGCCGTGATTAAGAGGAGACCAGCACTGGAGGAGTGAAATCTGGGAAATGATCCCTCGGAGTTCCAAAGGCAGCCAAGATTGTACCCTGTGCCTGCAGCCATACTTGGTAGTGTAAAGGTTACCCAGCTGGTACTGGTTTTGAAGGCATGAAGGGGTCAAGGGGAGCCACTGAGGCTTGGCACTGTGTGGCAGGGCTGGGGTCCCTTAAGGCTATCAAATCCCAGTTGCAGCAAGAGATCCCAGCATTTCAGGGATGCCAGTACTAGGGGCTGGGCCACCAAGAAAAAAGCAGCAGCCATGGCATGGAGCGGACTGAACTCAGGAGACAAATTTGTGTGGGCTGGAGAGAGTGGCCAGAGAAGTGATCCGAGCCCTTTGGAGGAGACCAGAAGGTCATGAGTAGATCTTGGCTATTGAATTATTTACATTGTTGGAGTCTGATTTTTGTTTAATTTAGATTGTGACTGTGCCCTGGTTTTTCCCACTTGAGATAAGAAAATATTTAATTTATTTTTGATTTTACCAGATCCCACATTTGAGAGACTCTGAACTTTGAAAGAGATTTTAGAGCTTTACAGACAGTTTGGATTTTAGAAGATACTGGATATTTTTTTTAAAAGTCTTAAGTTTGGGGTGTTTAAATTTTTAGACTGTGGATCTTTTAAGACTTTGAATGTTACATTGTAATGTTGACA